AGGCGGGCCCGGCGCCCTGGGTGTGCACCCCTGCTCGGCGCGCGGCCCGTGCTGCAGCCTGGGGCGCTCACCGCGCCTCGTGACTGTCCCCTGCCCCCATGGATTGCGAACGTGATTTCCCACGCCGACTTTGCCCTTGCCTTATCAGCGCGTTGTGCTGCAATGCTTTTGCAAGCCCTGGGTGACGACGAGGCACAGGAATAGTTCTCATACCGTGTTTTGGTTGCTACGTCGGCCATTCTCAAGTAGTTTTGGCTCACCAAGAACGCTAGCCAGGCTCAGTGCTTTAGAACCAAACATGTTCCACCCCACCTCCTTAAAGTAACGTCAGTGTTTAACTTGGGAACAGTCTGCTACCGGGCAGAAGCTTGCAGGGCCATGGAGAGGCAGCGCCTAGAAGTGGAGCCCGGAATCCCAGGCTCGAGCCCCCAGGCCAGTGCTGTGTCAACTGGGTGGAGGAGATTCTTTGGTTTGCCCTCCTCCTGTGCCTCCTGGCAGTTTTAGGTCTTCCCCCCACCACCCCCATGAGATTTGGCCAAGATTTTGGACCTTTCTCATAAAAGCAAACCCCACTGTTCTGTAACTGAAACTCGTGGCCATCGAGACAATTCCGACCCCCTCCTAGCTACCTATAGGACAGAGTAGAACTGCCTTTTCGAGTTTCGGACAGCCTTCCTTTTTCTTACACGGAGAACGTCTTGTGGTTTGGAACTGTCCACCTTGTGGTTACCAGCTGCCCAATGCATAACCCACTGCATCACCGGGGCCCTTGCGGACTAGGTGCTGATGCGTATTTGACGGCATGAATGGAGAAAGCCTCCTGGGGGAGCAGAGGAAAGCTGGGCTCCATTGAGGTCCTCGCCGAGTAGCTGGTGTGAACATCACGCATTAGGTCAGTGCCTTGTCTTCTTTCTGGGCAAGTTGCTCAACAAGTTTTACATACTATCTCCTAAAAAGTTTTATGTACTGTCGTTGCAAGTACTAGCTACTCTCTTGGGGAACCAAGAGAGCTTGTTAGCAGCCAGCTGACAGGACCATTCTCCTAATCTGAACGGAGCAAACGTTTCTACACAGACACTGGATGACATGGGTTTCATCTGGCTGCCAGGCAGCTCTAAATGAATGAATGGCGGGATATTGAATAATG